TTTGGCATTTTGTTTTCACTTAGTGCCACATATTTCAGTATTTTAGCTATGCGCAGTCTCTAATGTATGGAGCGAAAATAGACTCGTAAAGTTTGTGAATGCGTAACAACATTTGCATGTACATCTGAAAACACTTGCAAATACCCGAAGTTACACACAAAATGGGTTTTACGGGTTATAAATCATGCTTTACACATACAAGTACCCAAAGTTACACACAGACTGGCTTACACAGATTACAAATCAAGTATTAGCTTCACACACAAATTTTATTAGTCTATTTTCTCTCCCTACTAATGCAACAACAGTTCCTGCTTCCATCAACAGACTGCCTGTGTCCCTCACTAAAGTTATTATAGACTCTTGGTAGATATGGCCCTGGTTTCATATTTGTACTCTGAAGCGTTTGTACTTCCTTGCCGTTTTATTTTTATTTTTTTGTAATGAATTCATGTACACCAACTTGTTTCAGGTGTTGTGCCAATCGCTGAGGCCAAAACTGTGTGTGTCGGATCGGAGAAGTTCTACAAAATGTGTGAATCGAACGAGGTATGAAAAATCAAGATTAAACACTATGACTATGTAGTGTATGTTGACAAAATGAATTTATTGCTACTCAAGATTTTTTTTTAATGTTTTCAGAAGTGTTGAGCAATACAGGGTCTGTTAAAGTTGAGTTTTAGGTTTATTTGCACTCTTAAAACCCACTGAAATCATTTTTAGTTAATAAAATATATATTTAAAATAAAGAAGATGGAGAGTAAGCTCAAATGTGATGTGACTTGTTTTCGTTACAGCTGGACATGACGTTCCACCTKTTTATCTGCGCCCTCGCTGGAGCCGGAGCTGCTGTGATTGCAATGGTAAGACTATCACGCAAAGAAATGCTTCGAAAGCRTTCAAGTGAAAGACTCAACATGCAGATACAACTGAAAATGTAGATACTCGTTATGTCATTTCCTTTAATATCATATTTTAGATTGGCTAACGGAGCAGATTCATGTGGCTGAGGAACTAGTGGCRTTTTGTTGTGGCGCCGTGTGTTTGTGAGAAGAAGAAGAAAAAAAGGCAGGAGATGGGAGAGAAGGCATTTTGGTGCAGTGAAAAAAAAAAAGCCAGGGTTTGTCTCCCTCCCTCTTTCGGAGGCGGCGGGCATGTCGTGCTGTTGTCATGGAAACAGGGAGAAGAAAGGCTCGGAGGTTGTTGCAAACATCACTCAGTAATTTGTGAGGAGCCATTTTCTGAGAAACAGAAAGTGGTTGTTTTCTCAGAAATGATAGTGCAGCAAGACAGTTTTCCTCAAACCTTTTTTTTTATTGTTTCCCCCCCTCCCAGATATTAGGGCGGAACAGTAAACAGAACAGATACAGACAGATCATTGATGCTCAGAATAAAGTCGGTAATAGTGTAAAAACAAGAAGAAAACCCGGAACATATTTAAAAGTACAGCAGGTTAAAGAATAACAAGATCAAATTTTTGTTGAAGTTTTGATAAAATAATGCTGC